CTAAGATAGATCAATATAAATATTAAGTGTTTTTAATACATTAAATGAATAGCCCCATCAAGATTTTTAGTGATTCCAGACGATATTTTTTTGGTTATCTAGAAAAGGAAAAAGAGGATTTTAACGATTACCAAGATTTTTATTAAATCCGATTAAATTATATATCAAATTCATCCATATAAAATAATCGAGTATTTTAGTATAAAAAAACAAATAATTGTTTTTAAAAAAAAACGTTATAATTTGGAGGATTTTATTGAATAATATAAATTTATAAATAAAAATATTTCATTTTTTAAATGCTAATTTTAAAATGGAATTTGTTCGATAGAACGGTAAAAATAGAGGTATTCACATTTATTTTATTAATAATATTCAAATTGAAAGGGGATAACATTTAAAAATAATGGTTTACATATTTTGTGCTCTCATAATGTGAGTGTCTGTTTGAAAATACTGGAAAACCCTATGCCCTTTGTATTATTTTTTTTCAAAAATGAGCTGCTCATGGCTGCCCATAAGTCCAATATAAAAAGCCTCTTGGAAGCTATCCTATACTTTGACGATTCGTGTCATCAAGTTACCCCCTTATCGTACGGAATTAAAATTTGTTCTTCATTATCCCTATCTATGCTCTTCTTAATATTTTCATGACTAGCAGCTCAAGCTAGAGCCTTGCAAATTCAATTTTTAGCAAGACCGGGCATAGCTAAATTTTTATTTTAGTCCCAAGTCAATCCACACCTGGCCCTTACGACCGATTTTCAGTGCACTTCCCTAATTTCTATCCCATTACTAATCATGGGGACAAGGATACGCTCATTTTCAAAAGCTTACCGCCCTCTGAAAGATATTCACTAGGATGCCCTTCAGAACTAATAAATGCCATTTTAAAAAGGTCTAAACACTCTATCCTGACGCCGTAGATGCTTATTTTCAGATAATAATAAAAATCTAGATATCATAATAATACTTCGGACAAACAGCCTTCTTCTGGCTTGAAATTTTACTTCCAAAGGTTTAATATTACGATCTAACCTGTCAGGAGCCTTCATCCATCTGAAATTACAACAAAGATATTCTGACCTTCGAAGAATCATTTCCAATCCTCTAGTTTTTGGCATTTGATATCACTTATTTCTTGATCAATAGCGTAGGAAAGTTAATTCGTTCAATAAGTTATTGTGTTTTAAATTATTTGTTTGCTTTAGATCGATTAGGGATTTTAAATTGAGATTTGTAGATTGTGTTTAACTAAAAATAACTTAATATTTTCTTTAATTTAATTTAAGTAATTTAACATTTTCGTTAAAAATGCATAATAATATAAAAAGAGTTCATATACCTCAACTGTTAATTATTTTTTAACACATTTTTTTATTGTGCCTAATAAAGAAGAGTAAATATTTTATTTAAGATTATTACAATTCAGATTAAAAATTTCAACTCTCAGCTCATTAAAAGTTATAATCTTCAAATATATTGCTAGCCACGAGGGTTCGAACTAATACACATTCTTTTCAAAGACTTCCAATTTTTCAGTGTATTATCAATCTACTCTCTAATTTTCGATTTTATAATAGATGAGTCGAAAATATTATTCCAATTATAGTAATTTATACCAATTTCCTTTTCCTGCCATAATATTAATTTTAATTAGTATAATAGAGTAAATACTTTTCCATACTTTTTATATATTCAAAAAAGTTGTAGTATTTATTAATAATCATGGTCAATAGTTATATTATTAAATCCTCAACACCAGATAAACAGATAATTTACAAAGACAAATTATCAAAATAAAATCACGTGAATGCTCAAGAAAAATGGATTAGTTTAATTTCATATAACATCTCTCTCTTATAGAGATATTATGCAATATTTTCAATTCTACACTCAAATATACCCTCTAGGAAAATATTCAATCTAATGACTATTGCTTTGAGAAAAGAAAGTAAATATATTTCCATTGGAAGATGAACTATGGTTAAACAAAATTATAATTATCTATGCAAAATTTCAGCCAACATCCATTGTCCCGATGGGAAATCACTTTTGCATCCTTTAATATGATCTATAAAATATTATTAATTAATATTATTCCTATCTAATAAATAAATAATTTTAGATTATATAATAACTGGAAATAGCAAATCAATAAAAAAAATATTATTAAATCTGATGTGTCCCAAAAATCTTTATGTGTCAAATATAATATAAGTATTATCATATAAGAATATGCCGGGGAAAAATCGCGCTGAAAGCCAACAAAATAAGGGGTGTGGGGGCCCAAGCCCTCCCCCCATAAACAATTGTAAAAGAAATACTCATGCACTTGAGCGAAAAATATTTGGCAAACCTGTTGGGAACCCATCTTTGGTATTATATTAATACTCAGCTCAGGCTATATATAATTTATGAAGAAAAAAATACATCCACTCAGGCTAGATATTATTTATAAAAATAAATAATGGTTTTTTTTCAGAGTTAGCTAATAATGAGTAAGGAAATATTTTTTATAGTTGACTCAGATGCTAATCACTTACCAAAATATGGGGCATAGATTTAAATCAAAAAAAATCTAAGAAAAATATTCATTTTTTTAAAAATAAAATTGTGGATAAAAAAAATATTAAAAGGGAAGATTTTATTGAGTTCCCACGACACGAAGATAGTTGACTCGGAAAACTACGATTGTTGGATATGTAGATTATTTAAAATAACAATTAAATAATTCAAGAAATAGGCATAAAATGGAAGAGGAAAGAAAACCTAAAGTTAGTACCCAGGCCTTATCCCATTTTTTAAATTTTCTAGGGGTTTTATTTCTAGTTTTTTATTTACCGGATATGGTATTTTTCCCTACATTTAAATGCTTTTTTCCTCAGTTTTTTTTCTTTGTAATATTTTTTTGCTCTGAGATACTATTTCTGAAATATTTTTTGCTATTTTGTCTGATACCGGTTATACACGTTATTATAATATAATTCTGACAAAATTAGGTGTTTATAAATTATTTACATCAGCAATTTACTTACATATTCGTAATAACATCTTAAATATCTTAATTAAATATGCTTTTTAAGGTATCTCAAGTTTTTTAAAAAGATTATAGTTTTAATTGATCTAGATCAGTGGCGTAGCTACGGGGGTGGTTTTCGGGTTTGGACCCCTTCCAGAGCAAAAATTTATTTTTAGATTATACGTTCAAAAGACTTATAAGTGGTGACTTTATATCAAATAAATACCAATAATATTTTTAATTTTCTGGTTTAGATGTTTGTGGAAGGATTTTATATTAATATTAAAATTATTCTGAATAGTATTATTATAAAGATTGAGAATAATCTAATAAATTATAAAACAAATTATTGATGCATTTAAAAAAATATATTTACTATATATTATCGAAGATATGGTTATGATTTGTATGATAAACCCAGCCGAAGGCCGGGCAAAAGGGCCGAATGCCCGTTAAAGAGGGGTCTGGGGGGCGAAGCCCCTCAGTTTTTTATATGTTTGGACCCCCTCTAAGGAAAATTCCTAGCTACGCCACTGATCTAGATTATACCTAAAGCAAATTGTACTTATTGTCCACATCTTTTAAGTTATCAACCCATACAAATATAAGAAAATTTAGAATTCGTCTATAATCGGGTTTTAAATCCATGTTCTTAATTTTATAACATCTCAGTTTGAAAGTTAATTGTATCAATACTGATATATTCAATAAAATTCTATTATTTCACAACAAAATCCAACTAGAAAAGAGAACATTTGCATCCAAATTCATTGGCGAATCAAACAAAACATTTAGAAATTTTTTTAAACTTAATTCCTCTTTAAAAAAAACTATAATCCTATTAAACGCAGGAGCAGGTATAGATGCAGCTCCATGAATCCAAAATTCGACTATTTTAAAGGACAAATTTTGGTTGTTTTACATTCTTCTTATCTTTCTTTTTTTGCTATGATTTGGATTGCCGTTTCTTCCTAATCTTTGGACCTCCTTTTCTTAGGACTTAGCAATGACATATAATAATACCTAGACTGACGATGCATTCATATTAATGCATTTGAAAGGTCGTTGAATGCAATAAGCTGGACCCACCATTTTGGTAACCCATGAAATAATTATTCTCATAAAAACTACTATTAAATTGAGAACTTGCTTCCTTATTATCTCGATAATCAGGCGATTCTTTAATAAAGTTTTCGTCAGACATAGATGGCGTCCCCAGCTGTTTTTTATTGATGTACACTTTTAATGAATTCATCGTCAGTCTAGATGTTATTATATGTCATTGGGACTTAGGTAAGTCGATTTTTTATTTAAAGAACTACCAAATTAATTTCAACCACCACCCCCCCCTCCCCCGGGCCGCCAAAAATCTTAGAACGATTCTGCAAGGATAGACTCATTGATTTTAACCATGGGTTATTATATATTTTTTAACATGATTGATTATTATAAAACATTTTCATTAAATATTAAATGCTCGAATTCTTTACAGATCTCCCATTTCATTAAATCTTTTCCTATAAGAAATTTTTATACAGATGCTAATAACATAATCTTCCGTTATTTATATTATAGTCACCCCTTTACTCTCCTAAGGCATTTTAACCCATTGCTACAAATTTATCGCAAAAATATTTTTTAAAACCTATTGATTTTTATTGCCAAAATTGTATTTTTCCAAATATTCAAAAACCCAATTTTTAATTATATTGTCAAATAATTTTTTTAAATTGATTAACGATCATCATTTGACAGAACAATTTTAGGACATGGACTTGATCAATCTTTCGTTTACAGATTTTTTGGCACTCAGGAAAAACAAAAAACATCTAAAGGTAGTTTAATTACAACATGATCAAGGAATAGTATAAATTTATTATTAATGTAGATTTAAAGATATAGAGGGGTATTTAGACACTCTTACAGTTTTTTTTATATAAATAAATTGATGAATGATGCTTAAAATAGGTATAATAACTTGTTAACAAAGTTGTTTCCAAGATAAAATCTATTTTTTGGAATGCATAATAGCCCATGAACCCTTGATAATGATTCTTGAAATCGGACATAAATATCATCAATAAATTTGAACCGGATGATCGATATTCTTTAGGAAATTGGGAATCCGAACATATTTGTGCTATTAGCGGATCTAAATCGGTTAAACCATCGTATAGGAGCAAATGATCTGGAACATGGATACAGCTTGTGTTCATTTATTATCAAAATAAATTAAATCGCACTTTGCGTATGATAAAAAAAAATTGGTCTTCACAAATCATCATAATTATATGGCTTAAAATTTTATGATATTATTTATTTATGTTATGTGGTATTCTTAAAATCCATTAAAGATGTTAAACTAATTGTATTAAATTCTATTTTTAATAAGTTTTGGTTGAAAGTTTAAATAAGTCTATAATTCATTATCTATATGATTTGCATATGGTTGCATGATCTCGGTAAATCTAATCTATTTTAAAAACTATGATAAGATATATACCACGAATTAAATTACGAATAACTAATTATTACTCAGTAATTTAGTAGATATATAGTCTTTTTTTAATATTAATATTTTAATTAAATATTTAAATGACGATATAGTATATATATATATAGTTTTTTTAAAATCGCACAGTGTAGTGTCCTAATTTAGTGATGCATTGACTTTAAAAAAACATATTGTCTTCAATCAAATTAGTATTAAAAAAGGATGTATTCTAAAAAAAAGAAGTTAATATGGGTTAGGCGGGCTGCTCTAGCTAGTATTTTATTAACTCTTGGCTAATTCATATTTGTATTTTGATGATAAATACTGATATCTAATATATAAATCCTTAATTGTACTCAGGTCTTATCTTAGATATATAGAGAATAATTTGCAAAAATTAAAAAATATGCACTTGATAAAGATTATTTGTGAAAAAAAAACAACTATAAAACAATTTAAATAATTTTTTTATTAAAATATATCTTATATTCATTTTGGAAAGCGATTTCAGAAATTTTTAAAAAATAAAAGGTAGGGTATATTTAAAATAATTTGTGAAATGGACTTGGGGTTTACCTCATATTATTGGTTTCGAAAGTTGCTTTCTCTATTTTGAGATAAACTTGTTCATCATTGGCGGCGTAAAATATGTAGTGGCAATAGGACATTGGATTATAGTTCTGAGGATAATTTGGCGAATAAAAATACCCTGATTTTGTGTTGTTATTGCTAAAATATTTGTAACTGCAAGCTGTGTCTTTTAGTTTAACTCCTTTATTTTTGTAAGTATCTAAAGACATTTTTGAAAAGAAAAAATAGCTTTTATATACTAATTTTTTTACACATATAACAATTGCTAAATATTATCTTACTATTTTTTATTTAAACATTTTCATTTTTTAATATTAGAATTATTGAAAATTTCTTTAACGATATAATTCATATTTGATCATTTTAAAAAAATTATTTCGAATTTGATTTATTACACAATGTTAATAAAATAACATTTTGGAAGCACTTTATTAGATTAATTTTCTTAGATTAATTTTAAAGACAAAAGGTTCAACTTTAAAAAAGGAATAAAACGACCTCTTAATAATTTAAAAAAGGAGGAATAAGATGCAAACTAATTTTTAAAAACTAGCTTTAGATTAAATTTAGATTCTAAAAAACCTCAAAAATTCATAAATTTCTATGGCTTTTATGGTCACATTTAGGAAGTATTTAATTTTTAGAATTATTATTGATTTTAGAATGATGCAAGGACTTAGATAATAATTTTTTTGGCAATATAATTAGTACTCTATTTTTAGAGGAGTTTTCGTTTAAGATATGAATCAGTAAATATATCAGCTTACCAGCGCTTAAAAATCGAAATATCCCTTCGAATCCTCGGTAGGACTTTTGTCGCGGGCTATTTGATGCGAAAAATATGAAAACCAAAACGTTTTTGGAACTGTAAAAATGAGTCCTTCGATTGTCAGTCAGATTCCCACAAATAACTGTGTTATTATCGTAACGCCATTTTATATCGTGCAATTTGTTGTGGTCTTTTATATGAGCATTGAGGGAAGATGTTATCAGATGCTTGGATATAAATTTTTCTTGGTAAATTTCGATATAGTCTAGGTCGCATTTACCCCTAGTAGCCATTAGATAGTGTTTTATATTTTTTTAAATGCAATAAAATAAAATTTAATATTGAAAAGAACAAAATATAAAAATGGAGAACATGCCTTATGTATAATTATCACTTTTATTTTCTAAAGTTAATCAAAATATCACAATATTCTTATATGTGAATTACACAAAGAAATCTGAAATTACATTACAGACATGGCATCATAATAATAAAAATTTTATTTTCAATAAATACGATAGAAATTGACTGGCATAAAAATGGGTTTTGTATAAAGAATTACATATCTCTTCCACCTATATCTATATCGACGAAAGTAATCTCGACTAATTGCCTTGAAGTGCCCAAGAAAAAATAGATCAAACAAAGGTAATGATTCGAGTCTAAATGGTACGCAGAAGGGTAATTGGGGGACGTAAAAATTCCTTCTGATTTGAATAGACTGCTATAAATGATACATTTGCAAACTTTTCCGTTGTAGAATTAATATGTTTTTTTAAATATATTATTTTCATTTTAATAAGCAAAAGTTTAATTTAAAAAATATAACAATTATTCAAAACGTGCTTAGAAGAAAAAATTTATAATTATTTAAGTTTTCTTAAAGAGGACAAAAAGGGAAAATTATATTAATTGACAAAATTTAACATATTTGTTTGTTATATTATTTTTATTTCTAAATTATTTTTTATAATAGTGAAGAAGAAAATGCACTTTTGAGGCAATGTAAAGTCTAGATCTAATTAATAAACCTTAAAAACAATTTCCTTCTCTCAGGAGGCTAATATATGCAACTCCTAAATGCATCATTGAGCCAGCTATTAACCCTATCCCCGTAGTGATTGCTAACAACCATCTTTCTAGCCGTTTGCCAACTTCTAATGCTGAATAGCTTTAAAAAATAGACTTCTTTAGGAACTGATCTGCCTATCCATTAATTCACTTGACATTAACCCCTTTGACCTACCAGCTGTCATTAAAAGCAACAATTATACTGTATATATATTTATAATTTATTAACAATCCACTAATATAAATAATTACATTATAACGAGTTTTTCTTTGTAGTCTCTAATTTTAAATAACATTACCCTAAATTTCTACCCTTCATGGAATTTTCGAAAATTTTAAAAATTTATTTTATTTTGAAAATATATTGTAAATGCAGGCCTGCGCAGACAGGAGAATCCCATTTAAAATTTCCCAATTTAATAAAGGGAATTTTACTAATTTTCACAAAGGTTATATTGGTGGAGAAAATAAACATTGGAAATTTGCATAGCTAATTTAGCACCCGAAAACCAGGCAAAAAGATAGGGCTCAAAAAATAATTCCTAGTTAATTATTTTTCAAACTAAATTTAAATTTACAGTGGTATCTAGATAATGCTAGTCGGATGGGGCGACCCGTTATATTGATCATTGAATATACCTAATTTAAGTGATCCAATATAACGATTTTACCTCCCATTAAACTTTTTTTTCTTCAAAATCTAACAAATATCATTTATATTTTTATAATTTATAAAATAGAAAATAGAAAATTAAAAATTTATGATCTATATGCTTCGTGTCCCTTCCAAACCAAATGAGAAGGAGAGGGTAACTTATTTCCCTAGCCAACCAAATTTTTAATATTTTAGAATCTTTTGGATAATCCAGTGATCTCCTACCAGAGAAGTCTTCTTAGATCTCCACGCCCTACCAAATTCTCAGCTTCCTCTCTATATCATTTATTCTTGTTCCATAAAATTCTCTCAAGGCCATCACAAATCAAAACTTTTTTTACGATTGGGATGGTTAATAAGAGTAAAAATCAGATATAATTTTATTCTTGGTTTAAAATTTTCTCATGTTAATATGCGTTGAATTTCTTCTGTTCCCTTGGGAAACTTATTACAAGTCGGTTAAATATAAAATTAATTTAAAGGAAATCTTTTTCAAAAATGGAATATTTTAAGGAAAACAAAAAAAATATCTTTTCAGCATTCATCTATATAACATAAAATGTACATAAAACAATTGTTACTTTGACCACTAACGACTTTTTAATATTATAGTATTTATGTGGCATGTGAAGAATAACTCTTCTTTTTTTAGAAATCTTTGCCAAATTTTATAATTTTATTTTTATGATTTTATTCATTCTTTTTAAATGTAAACCAATAATATAATTTTATGGCCGATAAAATTATCGTTTCATTTTATTTAAATTTTTTTTTAGAAAAAAAATGAAATAAAATAAAAACCTCAAAGCTAAATAATTCTCAAGAGAATGATAATTTTTTCTTCATATTTAATAAAATAAATTCCATAGTTTTTTATATTTCTTTTTCATATTCTAAAAACAACAACAAAACACTGAAATCTTAAGTTTAAGATTTCTCCCTTCTAACGGTTTATATTTCTAAAGAGAAAAGAGATGATCATTTTAAGTATAGAGATTTGTGATTGATTTAGATAGATGGTTCGTAAAAATAATCATTCTAAATTGGCAATTATTGTATTATTTAAAATATTTTTTAGTTGGTAACCTATGTTTTTCACGTAAAAGAATATTGCGTCAATTTTTCTTGATTATGATGCAAAATGAGTTCTTTTTTTAATGGCATTACATTTGTGATATCTTTTTTTATAGCCCTGATTGAATAGAGTATTTTTAAAACAAAACAAAAAATTCTTTCCGTATTTTTTTATAATTCTACAGAATAACACAAGAAATTTCTTGACTATTGCTTCAGCTTTGAATTCTTTTTACAATCTTGTAAAAAAATTAAAAGCATATATTTAAGCCATGATCATTAGGATTAAACCCCCCCCCTCCCGGTAATACTTCATTTTTAAGGGTTAAGGTGTCTACTAATAGTCTTTGTTAGATTACATAATTATTGTTAATTGTCCTTGTAGAGATTTTAAGAATAAAATTAGAACAAAAATTAAAGATATTTATTTAAGTAAAAAAATAATCTTATCACAATATAAGTATATATATCTTGGTAAAAGTTAATTGTATATAAAAAAAACATTTTTAATATCATTTCAACAAGAAAATAAATTATATTAAATCAATTAGTAAAGAAAGTGAATATATAAAGTTTACCAATGTTAACTTATAGCCGTAAAACAATATACAAAAATATAAATATATTATATTACTTCAATCCTATCTAATCACTCCTCGCTGACAGATTTCTGCTAGAGATTTGGATCATTTAAAAATCCTAAATTTTATTATTATGATTAGCTGGGTTTAATCCTTAACTTTCAAGGTATATTGATTAAACCAATTAAAAAGATATAACTTAAATTTCTTAGGAAAAATTTTTAAATACAATTTTTTATGTCTTGTATTAGTTAATAATAATTTAAAAAAATATTAAATATTGAATTGAATATCTTATTATTATTTTCATCTATATAAACATAAATGTGGGCGTTCATGTTAAATTAATGAAAGGAAAAGTTTTTACGTGGTAGGCAAGGAAATTAAAGTCGGCAATCTCAAGAAGTAAAATTATTTTTTACAACGGTTGAAGGCAGAATAATTTATTTTAAAAAATCAATATAATAGCTAATTTTTTAAAGTAAGAGTATTTCGGATTACCCTGCAATCACAGTTAGAGCGAATTCGCGGTAAAGTATGCAAAATATTTCGCCGTGAATTTGCGCTATCTGCGAGTTAAGGGTTACATGGAATCTGGGATATATTTAATTTATCCATCCGCACTAATGGAAAATATTTGTATACTTTGCTAACAAAGTTATAAAAGAAACGTATTTTTTATTTAATTTATCCATCCGCACTAATGGAAAATATTTGTATACTTTGCTAACAAAGTTATAAAAGAAATTTATTTTGAAGAAAAATACGTTTCATAGATAAAAAAAAAGACGCTAAATGGGTATATTCATAAATCTAATGTTGTTGAACGGCTTGTTTTGAGCCGATTTTTAAAAACGGCTAACTCTTTCAATAATATATGTCTAGAACTTTGTTCCTTCTGCAAATAAAATCTTCAGGCTTGCGTAATATTATTTTGGATGAAATACTGAGTTAGCCGTTTTTAAAAATCGGCTCAAAACGAGGCATTTAACAACACTATATAAATCTAATGCTTAAAAAATGATTGAAATATAAATCTTAATATAATTTTTTTTTTTAATTTTCAAACACAAAATTATCAATTCCCTAAATTGGCAACAAAATGATTACATTTTTTAAAGAAAATTTGAAATCAATTTCAATTATATCTTCCATTTACTAAATTATTTTTTCCCATACCATCAATTTTATCATTATTTTATTGTAAGTTTTATGAACTCATTTAATTAATGGCTAATCGAATATAAAAATAATGTAATATCATTTTGTAAGGTTTGATAAAATATGGCATTTTTTTATTATATTTTTTAATCTCGGAATTTATAATATATAAAAGTTTAAAATATAAGTAACTAAAAGTAAACTAATAAAGTGGCTACTAGAGGTCTGCATATGGCAAAATTTTAAAGTATACGGTCCGATTGGAATTTGGTATTTGCCCGGCCCAGTTTGTCCTAATTTGTACATAGCCCGGCTTGATTCTAAATTTTATGCTAACCCGACACGGTTATTTCAAAATTTAGAAATATATCCTATGGTAAAAATAAACAATAATGATGAGGTTTATGATTTTTTTATTGTAGCAAGAAACACAAAAATGTAGGTAATCAGGGACGGACTGACCAGTAAGCCTAGTGGGAAAATGTCCCACGGGGTCTCGAGACCTTTAGGAAAGAATTTTGAGGCCTTTGGAGGAAAAAAGATAGTTTTTTTTTAAAAATTGGTATAAAACTGGGATGTGAACTCGGACTCGAACCAGGAACTGGACCCTTTTTTAAAAATAAAGGGTTTAAGGGTTCTAGGTGTCAAAAAAAATATCAAAAAATTTTCTCCTTTGAATTCATGAAAAATAAATTAAATTTTTTTTTGAATAATCATTTTTTTATTTCTATTTTTCAAAATTTTCTGGTTTTTATACTCCTATTTTAACGGTAATTTCTTGTTTTAATTTATATCAATTTTAGAATGTGATATATGTTTTGAATTTTCTAGTGTAGGTAATAATTTTTTATTATAAATGATAATTATATGCTATATAATATGATGATGTTGCTTATCTTGTTTTATATAAGTGAAACGTTCGAATTTGCTTGAAAGGTGTATCCCCGCATATCTGTAGATAACCTACTAGCCTGCACAATTTGGTCATAAACTTTTCAACTATTTTGAATTTATTTAAATGACAATTACCAGAATTGACACGCGTTTTGAACTGATTACGCGGGGTTTTATAAATTTTAAACAAAATATTTAAAAAAAAACGCCAAAAATTATTTAATCCAAGAAATTTGCGATTCAATTGTCTCTTATTTATACTTGAGAACTTTCCTTAAAAAGTCTTCTTGATCAGTCATTTTAATCAAGGATTTTTTCTTTTTTAAAATAACTTATATTTAAAAAAAAACATTATATTTACTTAATGAAGAAGGACTGGTCGGGTTAACAAAATATCCCATTGACGCAAGAAGGAGGGGCAATATCATATTCACGACGACTCATTAATAACTAGAATAAATTATTATTTTTTGAAATAAAATATAAAAAAATAAAATATGTAAAAATTGACACATCCCGTGTTTTTTTTATAAAAAAAAACCAATCACATTTTGGCAGACAAGTTAAATATTATAAATTAATTTTAAAAAAAATTATCCTTTAAATAATATCTTTTACTATTTTTACTAATTATATTTTTTTTACTTGATAGAATTAAAAATGATCCTTTTTTTTCCTCCTCGAATTATTCACATATTTATAAACCTTGTTCTCGTTAGTATTAATTATTTATTAGTATTTATATTATATGTATTGTAAAATCATTTAGACCATTCACATTTTTAAAATATTTGTACAGAGACCTCCATAGATTAATTAATCAGTATAGTATATTCGTATTTCGTAGGAAAATATTTAGAAATTAATTTATTATTAGATTGAAAAATCTTTACCCATAATTTTAAATATTATTTATAGACTTCTAAATCAAATAAAAATTTTACTACCATTTCACATCGAACTCGATAAACTGTTCTAAAATTTTCTTAGTTTAGATTTCGCTCAATGAAATATCCGTAAGTTTTAGACAAGCTCAAATTGAAATAGATGTTCTACTAATTGAATGCTTCAAAATAACTTTTTTTATGTTATGTAAGTAAGCATCATTGTGTTATTTCCGTTAGCCTGTATTTTTTCAATTTAAAATCTTTTTTTTTACCTGCCGTTAACTTTTAAATTATTTTTTAAATTTATATTAAAAAATCGACGGAAAAATGAATATATAAATTATGTTAAGTTCAAAGGTTTCGTGGCAAAATTGTCTGAAATTGATAGGATAGTACCCTAAACATGCCGAAATACATTTCCTGTAAAATAGGATTTTTGCGCTCAAGTAATGATTTTAAAGTTAAAAAAAAATAAAAAATTGACGGAAAAAACTAGTGTTATTAAATAGCTCGATTTGAGCCCATTTTTTAAAACGGCTAACTCAATATTTTAGCCAGAAAAATATACCTAAACTTGGAGATTTTGGTCATAGTTAACACAAGTTTTGGACATCTATTAACAAAAAAGACAAGGCTTGTGCAATATTTTTATGTCTAAAATTATTAACAAGAAATAAAACAAATAAGGGATTTTTGGTTATATAGCTTTTTAAAAAAAATATTATATTGGATGTTATACTCCATAAAATCAGATCGTTTCTAAAAAAATACGAATATTATTCGTAACTTTGAATATGGATAAGGTATTTTTCATTCGTTTTCCGAATGATCCAATTGGGAATTATTTAATAAAAGATATAGTGTAAAGCTTCTTTTTTTAAAAAAAAAAAATTAATATCTTCTATCTTTGGTGACCTTATAATTGGGCGACATATTTTTTTTTAGATTTCAAAGAGGTAATGCCGAGACTATAAAAACCTCCTTTGAATTGAACTAAGGAATTGGCATTATACTATTATTTTATACCATTATAAAACTTTAAATTTATATATAATAACCTTATTCATGCTATTTTTATCACAGAGTATGTCAATATTTTCTTTATATTTAATCAGTGATCATGATTGTTCTCAGAAAATTGTAGACTGCAAATGGCACAATTTTTAGGTCCGACCCTGTTGTATAATTTGGCCTGGCCCGGTCTGGTTCCAATTTTTACCAACTAGGCCAGGATTTTTCAGGTCCAGTGCGGTTTTTTAAAATACAAGTTATGACCCGAAATATTTATCGTTAAACACCAAATGGACCAAATTTATAAGATTGGAGAGGGATTAATTTAAAAATACTATACTTTATGGATTATCACTTCTATAAAATATCAGAATTCAACAATACGCCTAGTACATTATATAAGTCCTATTTCAGTCAATGATGATTTAACATATTTTAAGATCGAATTAAAATTCAAGATTATGATCAAAAATAAAAAATATGAACAAAAAACTTATTAATAATATAGATTGTATTTTCATCCTTATAGAAATAGGTTTATATTTTTGTACTCCAGATCAACTTTTTCTAACTTTTCCCCGCCCTTGCTTCTTGACCATATGAAGGAAATACAATTTATTTACCAGTAATATTTTTGCCCGGCTTAGCCCTTTAATTTTTTTGTAGGGCCCAGCCCAAAGCAGTCCTATCTACAGGGACGGGAATTATAGATCTCTATTAGATAATAATGATTAATAATAATAGTAAGAATATGAATATGAAATGAATCACTTTAGGTTATTTAATACTTTTGATGAAAATTTTAAATATAATAATAACAAAAAGATTAAATGTTATATAATTAAGCTCATAATGAGAAATAATAAAAGATTATGTGTTATCCTACGACACTATCATCAGTGGGGTTTCTTAAAATAATGTATAAATAATAATAAATAGATATAAATCTTTTTAATTTTGATATGTTATTTTAATCATGTAAGTAATAACTGCATTAATGTACTATATATATACACTTATAATGATTTTTTTTAAATGCATATCAGATTCAAATTTAAGCGTTATTGATTTTTTTTCCGTATAATCAAGTGTAGAGCAAGGATTAAAAAGCCGTTTAGAATCGGCCGACGAGTAAATATTGGAAATCATAATCATCTATGTCTATACATATAATTCTAAAATATATATTATTTAATTATTTGTTTTATTCATAAGATTCTAGATGCTCAACTAAAAAGATATATCAGTATAAAGTTTGAATCTCATGCGTAAATTAGTTATATTTAGCCTACCCATATTTTAAATTATAAATTATTCCCTTTTTTATAATGTTTCATATATTTCCTATAACATTTCTTTCACTCAAAATTAAACCTATATCATTGATAATCTTTAGGACTAGTAAAAATGTGCTCAGCACGTCTGAATTTAAAGGACGCCTAGATAAGTAGAAGATTTTTTTAGTATGTCTATTGCTTAAATAATGAATCGAGGTCTAACGGATATAATTAAGCTAATAGGGTAATAAATAAGTTGATTTAATTATATGAAATAAAAAAATTTAGAAGGAAAATTATCGAAAAAAACATAAAAATATTTGTATAATATATAAAATACGATTATATCTTTAAACTTATACATATACCTTTAAAAATACGAATCGTATAATTATATCATTCTTAGGTTGCTTCTTATAAGCCACCTGCTCAAATGCAATGCTGTCGTTTCATAGAAATAGTTGTTAACATTTGTGGCATATCCAAGGATCCACTCATTGACCTCTCTTATGGAAGTTTTCCTGCGGATATCGACACCTTAAATTTTATTTGAATATTCCTAGGTAGAAGTCATTCCACATATAACCTGCAGGTTTTTTTAGAGTAACTCCAAGCACCCCAGCATATTATTAGAATCTCAAATAGTTTACATGGGACCTGGGACTTTGCTTAACGTAAAATTAAGAATAATATTCCGATTTGGAAAATATTTTTTATACCAATCGTTATAAATACTAGAGATGTTTGACGGTTAGAATATATTTTGGTATATATTATAAGTTCGCTCGAAATTTTATACATATTATATCTTTTATTTATTGCTCTACATACCCTTATATGTTATTATGCCATTTTTAAAAGTCTATATCTTTTTTATCAATAAACGATCTAACTTTTATCTTTAAAAAAATAACCTACAATTCATTTTTGAGAAAAATAACCATATAAAATGCCGACTTAGTCAAAATGTAAATTAAAAAAATAGGCTTCCTATATAAAATAAAACAACCAATCTATAAAATTGTTTGGTCAAATTTTCTAAAATTCCTATTTTTGTGCTAAATGCATTAATTATAAAATAAGGTCAATAATTTATCAAATAAAACTCTTTTTTTAGTTTGCTATATAATCAAACATTAACGATCTTCATTTATAAAAAAAATTATCTTTTTGTGCGATTTATAAATATTTATTATGCTATTAGAGGAGAAAATTTGACGACATTTTTCCTTTTTAAGTTATAGATGAAAAAAATATATAGGCAATAATCTTTTGTTTAAAATAAAGTTGCAATGTTTATAAGAACTTTCATTGTTTTCCTATCCATTATACAAAGCATATTGTCCTGATAAACAAAGCAAAGAACTTCTTACGTATATCTATATTTATCTGTATGCAAGAAGAAATGGCGTAGACACCCCCCCCTTACCCCCCCCCCTCCCTGTCATGGAAAATATGATTTGGTATAATTTGGTGTTTTCATAATCTTATATAATAAACTCTAGAAAAATTTTTTACTTTCATTTCTTTTAATTAGTAAAACTCCCTCCTTCCTATCTATATAAAACCATTTCAAATTTTTTTTCTTCTATTTATGAGTGTGAAAAATCTGTGAATAAATAATACCATAGGTATATTTAATTTTTAATCAAATTTCCAATTAAAAACAATTTGTTTTAAATACTTAAAAAAATTAAATTGCGATACGCTTCCCAAGGAGGTTATAATTTGCATAAGATTGCCATTCGACCTTTTCTATTTTAAATCGTAAAGGTGCATTTAGTATTAATATTACATGATAAACAATCGCTCAAACTTAGCGCCTGGGGTAAAAAATTAGTCAATATAATCGTTTTCATTATCAGGACAACCAATCCATCTTATCTGATATCACATTTTCCAAAGATGCCACAAGTCTATTTTACTACATTTTTATGCTACCGCTACTACATTTTAAGAGTATCAAAGCTACAGCCAGACACATCAAGTCTAATATTTTGAAATATGATAAAAAGTTGATATTTTATAATGATATTGTTATAGTGCTACTAGATTCTTCGTTCTATCTTGAGTCTTAACATTAATTTTGGCAATTTAATCGTAATTTGCTAATAAATTGTTTATATTTGGTGAAAAAATACCTTAATATATTTAAACATAATCGATTCTTGAATCGCAATTTAAAATCTATTATATAAGACTCAGCCTAAGGCGCATCGTTATTTTTATTTCATATATAACTAGTTTTTGTTTATTGACTGGAAAACCCGACTAA